TCTACTCAAAAAGTTGCATAGCCACAAGTTCCTATCAAAGGACTGATGGAATTTACGGTTCCCTGCCGAGCGGAATGCGAACATTCGGTGGTCTCAGAATCACGGTCCCACCTACAACGCTTCTTAGCAATCAAAATTGCTCCCTCCAAACTGCATCACTTCTTGAGCGACTCATGATATCAGCATTTACAGGAAACCCTCAAAATGCTAATGGGAATAAGAGTGCATTTTGCCGCTTCCTAACTAATGAAGCAATATCATCTGAGAAGTTGAAGTTATGATGTTACATAATCATGCCTAGAGAATGTGAGCTTTCCTTTCTGCTTTGATGCGTCTGCGGGCCTTATAGGCTCTGTAGAGAGACGTAATGAAGGTCGCCGACTTGACCATCTCATCCTGCTCCTTAATGGCCTGCAATCGCGTCTCCTCTTCCTTCGCTCTCGCCTCCATTATGGCGTCATACTCCACCTTCAGAGGCTGCAAAGCAACCACACTAGCTGATGCATCACTCCTTTTACCAGCCACAATTTAACTGCCTTTAACAGTCACACACCTGAAATTTGATATTTAAAAACTCATAGGCCTTCATTTCGTCGTCATACTGACGTTTGGCTTCATCGTACTTAGTCTGTAATTCAAAGAGCTCATCGTCCATTTTTTTCACAATACCTTCCAGTTGATCTTCAAGCCGCCACTTTTGGCGACGAATTGCCAGCTCACGCTTTCGGAAGCAGGTTGACTCCTCTTCGTACATTTTCTTCGCAGCGGCAGAATCCTCAGATAATATTTGCACTGTTTCTACAGCAGTAAAAGAACTACCCTAAAATTGCATCCACGTCATGTCGGAGGTATGTCTCTCGGCGACCAATTCGTTAGCATCGTTAGCTATCTACTGCTGCGAGTATAGTAGGAATTCAAGCATTAAAGAGGAAAAGAATTTAACATAGGAAGGATCTATTCATACTTTTATGCTTTTTTTTAGCTGCCTTGTGCTCCTTTATAAATTTTTCCCGCATTTCTGAAAGCATTTCCGTGGCCTTTTCCTCAGTCGTCAGGAGGCACACGTTTAGGCGTTCAATTTCACTGACCTTCTCCTCCGACTAGAGAAATAAAAACGGCCACAATTCACACTTTTATCAACTTACATTCATGCTTAACATAAACGGTTTCTCCAAAAGCTACCCAAACTTATTATTTTCATTAAAAATGATTGAGCAATAGATCTTATTGCCCATTAAGTTTTGACGCAGGACTTGAGGCATTCAGGCCTGGGTTGTGTGCACGCTCAGTCGCAGAAGAGGTCTCCTTCTCATTGAGTGACTTGGAAAAAAAGAGCAACTGCACATGCAAGAAGCCTCATTCGTCTAACTGCTTACAGCTGTTGCCACGAGGAGTCAATCAAGACTAGAGAAGGACAATCAGTTGAAAAACGCCAAAGGAAAATTGCAGTAAATTCGCACACCTACCACACCTTGCCACTCTTGCACACCTCTTCTGACATTGCGTGAGGTGGCATTCCACTGCGTGAATACGTGACAATCATTTGTATCATTTGAGCGTGGATGGAGTTGTCAATGATTCAAAAGGTGGGACACATGTGTGGCAAGTATATTCCAAGGAGATAGCATCCATAGCATTCTCGAGAACAACCCGAAAGTTTGCTTGATAACTAATTTAATAGTATTT